TAGCGATGTCCGTCCCGCTGTTCGTCTATGGAAATCACTCTAGCTTCCGAACGAAATGAAGTAAATTGATAAAATTCTGCTCAAATATATGTAATTTCTGCAGGACTTTTGGTATTGAAAATGGGCCATGCAGGTCCCCGTTTTGGTATAGCTCCCATATAACGGGACCTCCCGATATTCGTCACTTTGTCGATTTTAACATACATATATTATTTTTTTTTTGAAATGAAGTAGATTTCGCTTCTGCTGTGTGACACATGGCACCGTCCTGTTGCAACCAAATGTTGTCAATCTCCTCCTCTTCAGTTACTGTGCTCCAGCTGAGACAATTTGTCTGGTCACAATTTTCAAAGTAATGCCCAATATTTTTTGGAACTCTTAAAAAAGAAAAATCAGATGATTGTGGGCCGATATAACCCATCTAAAGGCAGGATACACAATTGAAGGATTTTGTGAAATATTTATATAATTTTTATACCCTCCACCATAGTATGGAGGGTATATTAAGTTGGTCATTCCCTTCAGTTATACTGCGCCAGCTGAGACAATTTTTCTGGTCATGATTTTCAAAGTAATGTCCAATATTTTTTGTAACTCTTGAAGGAGAGGCATCAAATGATGTGGGCCAATATAACCCATCTAAAGGCAGGATACACAATTGAAGGATTTTGTGAAATATTTTTAGAATTTTTATACCCACCCCCATAGTATGGAGGGTATATTAAATTTGTCATTGCGTTTGTTACACCTCGAAATATACATTTTAGACCCCACAAATTATATATATTCTTGATCAGCATAAAGTTCTATGTCGATTTAGCGATGTCCGTCCCGCTGTTCGTCTATGGAAATCACTCTAGCTTCCGAACGAAATGAAGTAAATTGATAAAATTCTGCTCAAATATATGTAATTTCTGCAGGACTTTTGGTATTGAAAATGGGCCATGCAGGTCCCCGTTTTGGTATAGCTCCCATATAACGGGACCTCCCGATATTCGTCACTTTGTCGATTTTAACATACATATATTATTTTTTTTTTTTGAAATGAAGTAGATTTCGCTTCTGCTGTGTGACACATGGCACCGTCCTGTTGCAACCAAATGTTGTCAATCTCCTCCTCTTCAGTTACTGTGCTCCAGCTGAGACAATTTGTCTGGTCACAATTTTCAAAGTAATGCCCAATATTTTTTGGAACTCTTAAAGAAAAAAAATCAGATGATGTGAGCCAATATAACCCATCTAAAGGCAGGATACACAATTGAAGGATTTTGTGAAATATTTATATAATTTTTATACCCTCCACCATAGTATGGAGGGTATATTAAGTTGGTCATTCCCTTCAGTTATACTGCGCCAGCTGAGACAATTTTTCTGGTCATGATTTTCAAAGTAATGTCCAATATTGTTTTAGACCCCTAAAAGGAGAGGCATCGGATGATGTGGGCCAATATAACCCATCTAAAGGCAGGATACACAATTGAAGGATTTTGTGAAATATTTTTAGAATTTTTATACCCACCCCCATAGTATGGAGGGTATATTAAGTTTGTCATTGCGTTTGTTACACCTCGAAATATACATTTTAGACCCCACAAATTATATATATTCTTGATCAGCATAAAGTTCTATGTCGATTTAGCGATGTCCGTCCCGCTGTTCGTCTATGGAAATCACTCTAGCTTCCGAACGAAATGAAGTAAATTGATAAAATTTTACTCAAATGTATATTATGTCTGCAGGACTTCTGGTATTGAAAATGGGCCATGTAGGTCCACGTTTTGGTATAGCTCCCATATAACGATACCTCCCGATACTCGGTAATTTGATGATTTTAGCGACATTATTGACCGGAATTGTTTAAAATTTGGTATTTGAAGTTCGTAATGGATACTTCAGCCTAAGACAAAAAATTGTCTGTGCAGTTCCCCGTCTTCGCCTAGCCCTCACATAACGGTACCCCCCGATATTCGGTATTTTGATGATTTTAGCGACATTATTCACCAGAATTATTTGAAATTTGGTATTTGAAGTTCTTAATGGATACTACAGCCTAACCCAAAAAATTGTCTGTGCAGGTCCAAGTCTTCGTATAGCCCCCATATAACGGAACCTCCCGATATTAGGTAGCTTGATGATTTTAGCGCTATTATTCACCGGAATTGTTTCAAATTTGGTATTTGAAGTTCGTAATGAATACTACAGCCTATTACAGAAAATTGTCTGTGCAGATCCACATTTTGGCATAGCCCCTATATAATACATTTGGTATTTTTAAGATTTTAACAGAATTTTTAACGGATTTAACGAATTTTTTGAAAATTGCCAAATTCGTTTGAAATGATGGAGGGTATTCAAAGTTCGGCCTTACAGCTTTTTTTACAGCTTGGGCACAACTTCATACGTGCCCAATAAAAATTGCGACGACTCCACCATCCTGAAAAATTGCCGTTGTTTGTCTGGCCAGTCGACGTTCTTCAGTTGCAATGGATGGGGGTGGACTCCGAGGGCGGCATACTTACTGTAATGCATCTGAGGACTTTTCTCCTACTTTTCATTTTGCCGCAGATAGCTGTGGCTTGTGCAGACGAGTTGAAAATGTTGTTGAATTTGAGCAGAGCACAGATTTCTGAATTTTTACTCCAGAGTGAAAATTGCTCGCGAGCGGAATTGTTCGAAGAGTGGGAGTGGAGTGGATAGGGCATTTACTCATCGAGTCTCTCCTGTTTGAAAAATTAGAGTGGGAACCGATTCGCTAGGATTACAGTGAGAGTTTGCTCTAAGAGTGAAATCGAACGGAAACAAGTAAAAACATTAATACCCTCCAACCTAAGGTTAAAAACCTTTAAACAAAATAGAACAGGGATTGAATATTGGATCTACTTCCAATTTTTTGAGAGTAAAATTCGTTGGTATAAAGTTTTGAAAATGCCGTAAAGTCGATTATACCATTTTCCTGTTGTTTCCTATTGCAAATTTCCAATACCAAATTGAAAAAAAAAAAAAAAACCACTAAGGAGAGGTCGAAAGTCGGGCGCGGCCGATTATAAGATACTCTACACCACTGTGCGTATTTAGTAGAGCTCACGTAACAAAAAAAGTTAATATTGGGAATTTATCAACTATGAATCAAATACCCTCAGTCATATGGCTAGAGAGGGAGAGGGTACAGGACATTTGATCCAAACTTAATACATAGATTGAGTTCGGAGATGGGCAATATCGGTCCACTCCTTTTGGTACCTCCACTACAAAAGGTCAACATTTTCAAAGAAAATAAATTACTGCACAAAAAGGGAAAGGATAATCCGATTTTGCTTCAACCTTGCATATCCTAATATTAGCATCAGTGCTAGGTCAGGTATGAAAATGAACAATATCGGTCCACTCCATCAAGTGCCTCCCCCAGAAATGGTCAAAAATTTGGAATAATTAAAACTCTTATAAAATGTGATGTAAGTGTTCGATTGTTTTCAAGTTACACACATCACAACAATTTTATTAACGCAAGGTCCGGTCTGAAGATGGAATACTTCTGGTACTTTCCCCACAAGGGTTCAACATTTTGATACATGAAGCTCATAAAACTCAAAATAAACATCCGATTCAATTTAGACTTTGCACATCTCAATATTTCCATCAGTAAAAGATTTGTTATAAAAATGTTAGAGATCGGTCCATTCTGGTACCTCCCCCACACTGGGTTAACATTTTGAATAACCAAAACGATTATAAAATCCGAAAAATGTTCCCGGTTCTCTCTAAATTACTCACATCACAATATTTTTGTGAGCCTAAGGTCTGGTCTGATGATGGAATATATCTCACCACTCCTTGTGGTACCTCCCCCACAAATATGTCTAAATATTTCTCTTAACCAGAAATCTGATATGAACATGTAATTTATCGAAATTTATAATTTCGCATAAAATTGGATATAAATGTTCGATTTCCTTCAAATTTTGCAAATATTAATATTTTTAGCTGTAGTGTATGAAGTGGAACATCTCGGTCCGCTACATCTGGTACCTCACACATATTTCCACACAGTAGAAAGTAGACGATTTAGTCCAAATATGGCGTGTTGTAATATTTATATCAGTCTTAGGTCAGATACGAATTGGACAATATTGGCCAACTGATCATAACTTAAGGCTGGGGAAATACATCTGTCGGCAAAATCGACTGGTACTATTTTTTTATTTAGTTTAGTTTTTGGTTTTATTTAAACAAATGGAGTAGAGGATGTTAATATATTATTTATATGAATTTTATTTAATAAACGAAAATATAAAAATTGACCCCAAAATATAAAAAAGTTCCATCAAAGCTAATCCTGCATCAAGAAACAAAAGTATTGAGAATTTTACGTAAATACATACAAACAAAACAAACATACATATTAAATATTTCATTGTGGAATTGTATTTTATGCATAAGGATTTTTCTAAAAGTTATGAACGAAACAAAAAGCAAGAAAAAAAACGAACAAAACAAGTTGTCGAAATAAAATAAAAAAATATCAAGGAGTTACAAATAACCATTATGTGGATTGTCCTTTTGTTTAATTTAAAATCGGAAGGAATAAAAGTGTTTCAGAATGGAAAAAGGTATAAGGTTACCAAATACGGGATAGTAAGTCTCTGAAAAATGGTTGTGAGTGGGAGGGATGTCACAGATTGCACGGCGTTTAAAATCTTCCACGGACCGGGCTTCCTGCACCCTTTCTCATAAAACCCTCAACTAAAGCTGAATTATTTTCATGGGCTGTAAAGCTGTGGGCTTTATAGATCTCCTAATAAAAATACAGTCCACTTCCAAATTTTCGAATATTCCTCAGATAACATTTGGTGGCAATTAAAGATTATAGTTTGTTATTTTTTTTTTTTCTATTTTCTTTTTTTTTTTAATTTAGTTATTTTACTTAATTTTTTGTTTCTTATTCTTTTCAATTTTCAATTTGTTTCTTTCTTTTTTTTCTCCTTTCTCCTCCTCTTCTACAGGCCATAATAGGCGAAGATGGACGAGAAGCTTACAACAGCCTAATCGAACGTAAACACATAATGGGAATTGAACCTAACACCACTAGCAGTAGCACTTGTATATTACGAAAACCGGATAGCGCGCAATTCCCTCTGAAATCGGCCAAGACATTGCCAAGGCGTTCGTGTAACCTTAACAAAGATGTCGACTTTGGTGTGGGCGGTTCAACACACCATATAGAACGGTCCAGTTCCCATAATGAACATGAACTGGTAATACCACCCATACAAAATGCTCCCAGACCAACAACATTGCCAACAAGGGGAGCTCGTGGACGTAAAGCTGCAGATTTGGGGTTGTTTAGAGATCCAGCTGCTGAAACACCTAACATGGATACCAACACCCATCAAGCGGTCAACAACAGACTTAGTGACAACATATCGCCCTGTGAAAGTCCCAGTTATGTTACCAATACATCGTCATACAAGTTTCCGGAACAATCATCGACTACAGATAAAACTCCCGATGGTACAGATTTAAATCCTCTGCCCGTTCCACCCAAGGAGGGTAAGAAACACATACAAACCAATGCCAAACGGCATGTACGCAAATATCCCCTAATTATACCAGCCAATGGTGTGCAACGTACCCTAAACAAAGTCATGGGTGAGGAGCAATCTGTTCTCAGGGGCCTTACAACAAGTAATGGCAGCCAACTTTCTTCCAACATGGCGCGGAATATGGCAACGGTACCCACAATAAAACCCTTTAACATTAACAACAACAATTGCTCCTCCACCCTGGCTGAATATGAAAATACCACAAAATTGTCATCATCATCATCATCATCCTCGGCACAACAGGAGAGAACCTATCAAAACATCGGAACCGACGACACAGCCTCGCTACAATTCGAATCGATACTGGAGGCAGACTTCAACAAAGATCAGGTTCTACAATCGCCTGATGTCACAGATGGCTTCTACAATTTCTCCATACAAAAGGATCACTATCACAAAAGCAAGGAAATGGAATTTGATGCACAAAAATTGGCCGATGGCCTCTATGTCAATGAAGATGAGCTACGGAATTTGGATATTGACAAGAATTTGGTGAAGATCAGTAAACAAAATATGGAAAATAAGAAATCCAATGAAAGTTTGGAGGTAAAACAGCTGACAACAACTCCATCACCTCCGCCCCCAGTGCCCACAACGGCTCCACCAGAGGAGGCCACATCTTTGGAAGTCCCTAAATCACATGAACTTACAGCAAAAGATAACAACTCATCCTCCACTTCCTTTTCTTCACACACTACAGAAAGATCTATGACACCAACAACACAAGTCACAAACACCGCATCTTCGTTGTCGTCTCAACATGCCACCACACAAATGTCGGAAAGAAATTTAAAGGCCCCCAAAACGAGTATGTCTCCACCCTCTGCGAAATCCGACAATGAGCTTGCTGGCAATGCTCTGTTCCAAAGGGTCCGTGAATCCGTCGACAAGGCCATGGTAAACAAACCCACGGATGCGGCTTCCACTCTCATCAAACCCCTAACTGAAGCTGAACTATTTTCGGCAGCTGTAAATCGTCTCAACGATTCCAATTCTGTGAGTTGTGAAGATCTCCTGGAATTCTCCGATAAGAAGCCGAAAGGCCACGAACGTGGTGTGGATTCCGATGAAGTTCGCATAATGATGAAAGTTTTGGGAAAAGATGTAAGTATGGAGAGAGACGGGGAATTTTGTGTACTTCTATCTGATGATCTATGAAGGTTTCCTTCTGGCTGTATCTAAAGACTATCTTATTGTCGTTTATGAATTATCAATTCTGGCCGCCCATATAACTTTTCTGGTTTGTAAAGACTGTTCTGGTCTCTATTAAGAATCCATCCCGGTCGTAAATAAGGTCTCATATTTGATCACCTAAAAGAAATTCCCTCTGATCATTCAAAGACATCCTTCTGATCGTGTAAAACTCTCTCTATCTCTCTCTTTAGCCTTTCATAAAGACCTCCCTTGAGACAGCTATATTACTACATTACTGCATTCTGAATGTATAAAAAAGTTCTCCCTCTCTCACTCTGGCTGTTTAGGATCAAAAAGAATCCACTCCTGTTTTTGTAAAAATACCTTCTAATGGTACATTTTATTTGCCTTAACTTTCCTCCCTGGACGTCTAAAAAACTTGACTTCATATTAAGGTTCTCTTCTGATTGTCTCTAAAGACTTCCCTCTGGTAATTTAAAAAAAAACGAACTTGCGTTCTTCTTCTTCAAATGCTGCCATTTAGACGTCTTAGAGATTACTTCTTAGTCTATAAATGCTTTCCTCGGATCCTCTATAAGAACATCCCTCTAAACTTGCTCCTGGGTGTCATTAAATACTAAACTGGTCGCAGGAACGTCACAGGCAAGATCTGGGGGCTTAGCCCAGAAATTGTACATTGGTTGGTCTTACCTGTTTCGACCAATGTTCTGGAAAAATATTCTTTAAAAAATCTAGATTTGTTGGTCCTTCGAAAAATATTCTTTGAAAAATCCAGATTTGTTGGTTTTTCGAAAAAAATATTCTTTCAAAAATCCATGTCTGTTGGTCCATTGAAAAAAATTTTCTTTAAAAAATCCAGGTTTCTTGGTCCTTCGAAAAAAATAATCTTTGGTTTGTTGGTCATTTAAAATACTTTCTTTAAAAAGACCAGATTCGTTGTTCTTTTGAAAAAATATTCTTTAAAAAAATCACGTCAGTTGGTCCTTCGAATAAATATCCTTTAAAAAATCCACGTCTGTTGTTCATTCGAAAAAAATAATCTTTAAAAAATTCACGTCCTTTGGTTCTTTAAAAAATTATTCTTAAAAAAATTCACGTCTTTTGGTCCTTTGAAAAAATATCCTTTAAAAAATCCACGTCTGTTGGCCCTTTTAAAAAACCACGTCTGTTGGCCCTTTTAAAAAACCACGTCTGTTGGTCCTATAAAAAAAATTATTAAAAAATTTACGTCTGTTGGTCCTTCGACAAAATATTCTTTAAAGAATCCGGGTTTGTGGATCCTTTGGAAATATATTCTCTAAAAAATCCAGATTTGTTGGTCCTTTGAAAAAATATTCTTTAAAAAATCTACGTCTGTCGGTCCTTCAAAAAATGTTCTTTAAAAAATCGGGGTTGTTGGACCTTTAAAAATATAAAAAAAAATCCAGATTTGTTGGTCTTTTGAAAATATATTCTCTAAAAAATCCAGATTGGTTTGTCCTTTGAAAAAATAATCTTTAAAAAATCTACGTCTGTTGGTCCTTCGAAAAAATATTCCTTAAAAATCCACGTCTGTTGTTCATTTGAAAATATATTCATTACAAAAATCCAGGTTTGTTGGTCCTTTAAAAAAATATTCTTTAAAGAATCCACGTCTGTTGGTCCTTTGAAAAAATATTCTTTAAAAACCCAGGTCTGTTGGTTCTTTCGAGAAAAAAATATCCACGTCTGTTGGTCCTTCGAAAAAATATTTTTTAAAAAATTCAGGTTTGCTGATCCTTCAAAATGTTTTTTTTGTTTTGAATTCCATAGCTGTTGGTGCTTTGACACTGAACACTGGATACAGATCACAGTGGTCTTACCTGTTCTGACCTATGTTCTGGGGCTTTAGATAGACTCTTCCTACTCGTAAATATGCTTCATTCTGATATAAATACTAATTTTATTCTTCTGTGAATTCTTCCTTTAAGTCTTTTGGAAAAATTCTCTTTTTGGATATCTTGTCCTCTACAATTCCTTCCCTTTGGTTATACGTCAATAATCTTTTTGCTCTATAATATAAGCTCCCTTTTCGTTGCTCTAAAATCTGGATTTCTAGTCGCTTTTAAGAACTTTTCGGTCGTTTTTTGGGGACTTCTTCATGTCGGCCGCCCATATTTTACAACAACTCGGGTCTGGTCTTGTAAAAGGTTTTTGTCCAGTCGACTATACTCATTTCTTAGTGTCTATATTGTCTTCCAGGAAAAGTCCTTCCACTAACCATTCTTTCAGACAGCTATTAATCTATATTTCGATTACAATATTCATTCATTCTTAACACTCATATTTATGTTCTCTGTTCATTTTCTTTTAGAGCTCTCCCGAACGTTGTCTCAAATCATTGGAATTCATTGAATGGGATGTCCACAAGGCCATTAAGATCATCAAACTGCAAAATATTTTAAAGGATATTCAATTGACTATGTCCGAAACTGTGGAATATTTATTGAAATATGACTGGGATTTGCACACCACAGCGAGACGTCTCAAAAGTTTAAAGACTTGAAAATATAAATAAATCACTGAGAACATTTTTCTATTATCGTTACACACAGAGATATACCTATCATTAACACCTTAAAAAAAAACACATTTTATGTCAATCAATTATTTAACTCGAAAAAATGCATGCATTTCTTCCTTTCCCATATGTTTTGTAAGTCCTCCTTTTTATTTGTAGCTGTTTTAACTGTTAAGAATATCTTGCGTGGACCCCTTAAAACCCCCAAATTTTTGTACTTATTATTAATTATTGTTTGTTTTAAGAGTCTCCCCATTTATCATTGATATTTATATTACTTTCCAAGAAGTAAAGCATACTCTTTTTTTAATTGTTTTTAGAAAACGTTCTAGCCTCACAAACTCACGCGCATACAATCTAATATAATTGCATATTAAGTTATTCTCTACATATTTTTAATAATATTTAACGAAAAAACTAAAAAGTACGAAAACTGCGAACAATTAATACCACAAGTGCCTTTGTAACCAGATGATCTTATAAAGAACAAAAAACAGAAAACACAACTATTTTATTAATAAATAATTTTATAAAAAAAGAATATTGTTATCATTGCAAGGAGGGAGGGGAAAAGTTTGCATTTTCCAGCCATTGCCTTTGAAAACTTTTGTTTGCAGGAAATGCTCTATTTGTTTAAGACACCCATGGAATCTTTTGTAAATTGAAACCTTCTCATTTTATAAAATATCCAATGACATACAAGACCCACTTAAATTTGTATTTTGAAATACATCCTTGGCCATATGACCTTAAATGTCATTAATAATATTCTACGTATGTAAAACTTTCTAAATGCATTTAAGGAATAAAATGCTACTAAAAGGCCATGTATCCTAAATGGTCACATGAATAAATTTCATGATTGAAGGACCTCGTAATGGACTTCTATGCTTAAAATTGTGTTGAGATTTAAAAGTATACGCCCTGTGGTTCCATGTGACACACTTCGCAGATACCCCTAAGATTTCTTCTTTTAAGTGGTCATATATGAATGATCAGAATGGTTTTTTAAAGCTATACTATTTACCGATTTCTTAATTGTAAATTGGAATTGATGATCAGTCACCTCGAATACTTAGTAATTCTGCTTATTATTTCCTTTAAGCTATTGTGTATATCATTGATTGGTGTATTTATAAAGTGTCGAATCTAAATCATGTTTCATGAATACAGACCATTAGGAGTAGCCATAGGGGTAAGGAAAAAATTAATTTCTCTACAATTGAATATGATACTGACAATGACATCATAATCATAAAAACTTCGAATTTACCGCGAAACTTTGTCTTTGTGTCAACTTACTGTCCACCATCAATTTCAAATGTTTGTTTCAAGGATAAGGTTTCTAAACTGATTCTCTTCTTGGAAAACTTTCAATATTAATATTTAATAATTTTTTAATGCCCGCAACGAAGCCTCGGGAGATACTCTAACTTCGAACTGCGGATGTTGACCATTGACCTGGTTATCTATGCCTCAATAATGGTAAAAAGACCTTTATGAGCGGTTCTATTTCCCAGGGATTGGTGCTTGATTTAAAGGGTCTACCGATGATCAATGCGCTACCTGGTATATCTATAAGGGCTATCTTGACAGTGTTGTATAACGCCATTTTAGAATACACAATTAAGAATAATTGGAGAATTATATAAATAGTCCGAATTCCAAAACCCAACACGGACCTAAGTGTCATGTCAAACTATCGCCCAATATCCCTCATCTCTGTTTTTATGGAATGCATCAATTAAATGCTGAAATATAAGCTGGTACAATTCATTGATGAAAATGAAGTCATTCCAGTTAGATCCTTTGCATTTATAGCAAGAAAATGTCCACTTCTACATGCCTAAATGATCTTCTCCACCGAGTAGCACTTCTTAAGGCAAACGTCTATAAAGATCTAGTTTTATCGTTGGACATATATAATGTCTATAACTGTGTGCAAATTGATAACTTGGGTCAGCTCTTAAGAAAGTATATCTTTAAGGTTTCAATAGTGAATTCGATTATACATTTTCCATCTAAAAGGATTCTGAAAGGGGGTGAAAAAGAGGTAGTGGTGACAAACGGCATACCAAAAGGAAGCTGTCTATCTCCTCTCCTCTTTAACATCTACACAGCGAATCTTTATATGCCGATGACTTCTTGTTAAAGGTCTTTATCATAATTGTGACATGGCCCGAACCATCTCTAACTCCTTATCGGTTCAAGGAGACTATTCGCACATTAAGGATTCCGAAATTAAGGATTAACTAGACATGTCAAATGCCTAACCCCATTTAAAGGTTTACATCCAAAACCGTCTCTGAACTTATACAAAAGCCTTGTGAGAGCAAAAGTAGGCTATGGTAGAACAAGGACTGCCAATTCACCAAAGTATATCAACAACAGCATTGAGAGACTTCAAAACGGTAGGAGCTACAGACTCGAATTTATGCGAGACATGCTGTATGGCGGAAACCTCTCATCATTTGTTTTTTGATTGCATAAGATTTGACAACATAAGAAGAAAGAATTTTCTCCTGTAGCCTAAATACCATGGACTAATACCTTTGCTGCCGTTCAAGGACCACAACCATGGCAGAAGAATACAGGTGGATGCATCAACGATTGGGAGCATTGATATGTCAAAAAAAATTAAATGTTTTTTCAAATATAAGTAGATTTTTATATGTTTTCTTATACTACGTCATTCGGAAGCTATTATAATTCGCGTTTTTCAACCATTTTTACGAATTTTAAAAATTTTTCATTCAACATTTTCAATTCCAAAATTGGTTTGACAGTACATTGTCCCAGCAGCTGTGTCGACGCGTCTACCTATATTCTTCTACCATGACCACAACTTATGCAACCTTCTCCTAAAGTTCCTGAAAGATTATAAAATCAATCTAAAAGTAACTTACCGTCCGCATTGGACTCGTGGATGTCGTTAGATGTTTAATAATCTACAACAAATTTGAATACAACCTTTGCTTCTGTTACCCGAGGATCGCCAATTTGGTTCTCTGCAACAAAAGAGAGTTCGTTGGATAACCCAAAAAAAAAAACAGACTTTCTTTTGGTTATAGCTTGATGCTATAGGTCTAATATAACAAAACGTCTTTTTAGATGCCTCGTCTATTTTATCTTCTGAGAGTGCGAGCACGAAGCACGCTTGTCTGGTTAACTTAAAATATTACTTTTTATTATCAAGTGGTGGTCAAAATGAAAACTCACCTAATCGATTTGTTTGGTTTTGGTAATACAAAGACTCGACAGTCTATTCAGACTCATACACTGGTATTGGGCTCAGTGCCTTCAACTTCTGTTGCGATTCCGTCTATCCGCAACGCCCATTTGAGCCTAGATGGCACAAATGCTATATCCCCAGTTGCTTAGTACTTTCCATGGAATTTTCCATCCATATCGACTAGTGAATGTTTCAAACTCATATTTAACCGATATATTTTAATTTCTTTTGTATTTCAATCAAATTTTCCCTTATTTTCTTTTAGTTGTATTAATTTAAAAATACTTTTTTATATGCTTCTTCTTAATTGCACAAGAAACTGATAACACATACGTTACATTCACTTCCAATTGTCAATGTAGCCCGCCAAATCATATGGCAAGATTATCGATTGGAAAAAAATGTAGATTATTGTACAAAATCGATTTTATTTGTGGTTTACTATCGAAAGTGCGGTGGGAAAGACGGAAACAATTCAGTGAGAACAGAAATATACAAAAACTCATAAGAAAACTGCAATTATTTATAGAAAATAATAAAAAAATAATATTTAAGCTATTCCTGTTGGAAATATAGCTTATAAATTTTATAAGAATATAAGTTTTATACAAAATTTACCTCTAATAAAGAATAGAAAATGACATTTGTGGCAGCAACATAAACAAAAAATGCAACTGCAAGTACTATAGAAATAGGGAGTGTAAAGCAATTGTTTGCCCAACAGCAAATTGCAACACAACAACAAGCAGGAGAAAACGTAAATACCTATGCGTCGATGGTGTTCCAGTGGGGTAGTTTAGAAGGGGTTAAATGGCAAAAAGAGTATAACAAATAATTAATTGTGTGGAGAAGAATTTTAACCAAATGCCCCCGGCCCCAAGTGATGTTGTTTTTGCCATTGTGTTGAAAGTAAATTAAATGATCCTAATGAGCAAATTTCTCAGAGAATAACGGTAAGGTAAAAATAAAAACCGCGCTCATTTGTGGCGATTGTGTGTGTTTGTGAAATCAACAGTGCTCCCCAACAAAGTGGTGAGAGAGAGAGTGCCCCACCATACCTGCAGGCAGAGAGAGTGCTCTTCGTATCAGAAACAACAATAACATAACAGTTCGTTGAAATTGTGCTCCACTAAACATTGTGATTGTGAGAGGGAGAGGCGAGTGTGAGTTGATTGTTGCTTTATTTTTTCTGTTTGGGGAGACTTTCGAATTGCCTGCATGCAGCCAACGCCGCTGAGTTGAGTTGGAGCCGTTAAACGTACAACATCGGTTGTTCGCTTGTTTTTCTCGTTCATTTTTGTGCCTATTGCCGTTGGTTCTTTGATACGCGTGTGTGTTTCTTCGCCGCCCGAAAAATATCGTTTTTTTTGCGCTTACTTGAATTTTTTTACACTAATTTCTCCCAAAATTATCTCTGGTGTTCAACGAAAAATATCTTGAGCGATTGTGTCTTTGCTTGTTGTGTGAGAGCGCGAACGAAAAGAAAGCCAGAAAAACAAACCAAGTAAAACGCACAGTCCCCCCCTCAAGCAACAAAAACAAGCACTTTGCACATCGAATCCCAACACATAAGATTTAGTAAGTAATCAACGAACGCCAAACGATCAGCGCTTTTAGTGTGTTTTTATAACTTGGACGACCTGTTACAGGAGGCAGCAGCTGTAAATTAAGTGAAAAAAATTTAAAAAAAAAATCAAAAAAATATAACCATATTTACAACCTGCCAGACCACTTTGCTGTGTCCAAAAAACAAAACAAGTAACTGTTGAAGTATTTAAAAAAAAAACGACAAAAACAAATAAAGTGCCAAAACAACATTTTTTACCAAAAACAAAAAAAAAAAAAAAAAACTAAGAATAAGTTAAAAAAAGTAACTGACGCGTCTGAAAAAATTCTTTGTGCATTTAAATTACCAGAAAAAACGCCTACAAAAAAAAAATCTTAAGCAAAAACTGTTTTTTTGCCATAGTCTTTCTTCTGCAACTACTTCTACACATTCATAGTATCCTACAACTACTTATCTACAGTGCTCTTCAGCTAAAAATAACCACAACAACAATAAATTTTTGTCATTCTTCGTAGTTTATGGCCGAAAGTAAAGGAAGCATGTTGGCGAAATCTGTACAAAAACACGCTGGACGTGCCAAAGAAAAGGTAAGCTCTTCATTCCCCTAGCATAGACTCGAGTGCACCTATCAATTAACAACAACAACAACAACAAGAACACCAACAACAACGATTACGCATAATTTGTTGCGTGACTTTTTTTTGTAACTTGTAACTTGTTTCTAGTTTTATTTTTTGTTAAATCGGGTGGGGGGAGGACAATTGACAGAGAGCCATAATTGAGTGTCACCTCACAATGTTGTGTCGAGTATTGCACTAACCAACAAATTCTCTTGCCCTGACAACGTTACTGCATTGTAATTCTACTAATCTCCAACAACAACGGCAATCATGACACAATGCATTTCTCCTAAATTTGGTTGTGTTGTTGTTTTAGTTGCTTCTGAAATGTATTGGTTTGTTGTTGCAATAGCCGTATTTTCCTTGTTGTAGTGTTGCAAGTAAATCTTCTTGTTAGAACACCAACCATGGATGGGAGTATGAGGGTGCTTGGTTTGATAATCCATCCAATTGGATAATGGAAGAGAAGCCGCATTGTGTTACGAATTTCATGCAATTAAAAAAGAAAAAGTTAAAATGTATCAGTCGGTTTAGTTGAGAGACGTATACCCTCAGCCAATTTTCGATGATTTAAATATATTTTGACTTCTGTTATGATTCTTCAAATTGATGACCCTCTAATAGGGTAGGTTTCGAAGGAATGTGCCAATAATGTCCATTTCGTATCGAACATAAATAAATATGATACACAGGGTGAGATGAAAAAAAACTGCAACCAACTTCAGACTCCTGTCATTTTAAAGCCACACGTCCCACAGCTGTTAAAATTATTCCAGTGACAGCTCATTATATTGTTTACAAGCGGACAAAAGCATTTTGGTGAGAATTTTCCAGAAAAAAAGTTATTCGTGATGGAATTCAAGCGTGATTCCTTTATATTTGCCTGGCTATCGTCCAGCATTTAAATGTGAATAAATCTTTTGTGTCTCATACCATCGCTCGTTACCGTGATACTGGTAGCGTAGACCGACGTCAAGGAAGTGGATGGAAGAAAACAGCAACAGTTTGGCCGAAAGTGGTGAACTGCCGAATTTGGTTTTCTCCGATGAGAATACATTTGTTATCCAGCCGTTTGTAAACAAAGAGGTCAGTTGAAAATGTGCACCTTCGGTTGCCCACCAGAACTCAAGCGCCGGACATGGTGATGGTGTGGGCAGCCACAACAGCCGATTGTCACTCTCCCCTCGTATTAATCGACCGTGGCATCAGAATAAATGTCAAATATTCTTAAAATATTCTGGAGGGTGTATTAAAGCCTTGGGCACGCAAACATTTTGGCCGCAGACCTTGGACATTCCAACAGGACTCAGCACCATCGCACTAAGCACGGGCCACCCAAGAATGATTATAGAATGAGGTTCCTCGCTTCATTTCTAGCGCACAATGGCCACCAAAATCTCCGAATACCAATTCGTTGGACTATTGTGTCCGGAGTATTCTGAAAAGCAAGGTTGGCACTAAAAAATACCACAAGCAAGGGCTTTGCCGGGAATGAGCCAAAATACCGCAGAGCAACATTAGGGCAGCGTGTGACGGTTTCATTGGCAGTTTGAAGGCCATAATTCGTGTCAAAGGTGACCCATTCGAACAAATCTATACTTATTCTAGAATTTAATGCTATTTTCGACATTTTTGGCTTTTATTCAATAAAATTAAAAAAAAAACAAAAAACATATAAAAAAGCTGTAAGTTCGGCCGGACCGAACTTTGAATACCCTCCACGATTTCGAACGAATTTGGCAATTCTCAAAAAAATAAAATCCGTTAAAATCTTAAAAATACCGAATTTAGCTATTATATTAGGGTCTATACGACGACATGTACCTGCGTAGGTAACATTTGTCATAAGCCATTACAATATTCAAATGCGAAACGGTTATAATGTCGATAAAATCAAAATACCGAATATTAGGAGGTACCGTTATATGGGGGCTATACGAAGACGTGGACCTGTTCAGACAATTTCCTGTCGTAGGCTGTAGTATCCCTTACGAACTTTAAATACCAAATTTGAAACAATTCTGGTGAAAAATGTACCTAAAATCATTAAAATACCGAACGTCGGGAGGTACCGTTATATGGGCGTCTACGAATAGGTGGACCTGCACAGACAATTTTCTGTCTTAGGCTGTAGTATCCATTGCGAACTTTAAATACCAAATTTGAAACAATTCCGGTGAATAAATTCGCTAAAGTCATCAAAATACCGAATATCCACAGACGGACTGTAAATCGCTAAATCGACATAGAATTTTATGCTGATCAAGAACATATAGACTTTGTGGGGTCTAAAATCTGTATTTCGAGGTGTTAAAAACTACACCTTCGGGTACCTCCCCCTACCATATATTGTATTTATCCTACATATCCCGTTCCACTCCTTCTCGTCTGGACGTGAGTCACGACCCGCATTATACCTTTGAAAATTTGAACAATTTTCCGGCAACTTTTTCATTCCCATTTTCTGAAAATATAAAAAGAAATATTGTCTAACAGAACTCCCGTCCCTGTCTAGGTCTGCACTTGTTTTGTTTTGTTTTATTCATTACTGCATTCCTAAAATAGTCTGTCAACTTTGTGTTTTTTTATTACCTGCTTTTTGCATTGCGAAATTCTCTATCGATAACCGATTAACTGCCGACTTTGGGGCATACTTCATACTCCCCCCCCAAAAAAAAAAAAGAGAGTCAGAGAGGGAGAGAGAGCGGATAAACTACAACTACATTACGTCGATTGTGATTGTTTGCTTTGAATGGTAAACAAACGAAGTGGTTTTGGAAAGGTAGGGTTCACATTGGAAGGTAGTAATTTGTGGCTCGTTTGGATTTAATGCTTGGCTAATTAATTGGGTGGTCGTTAAGTGTCAGCGGAGTGTTTGGTATTTTATTTGTCGTGTTCTCCAGTGGGATCTGGTTTCTGTTGTTCTCAACGCCAAAGTGGTTCTTTGGTGGTTCTTACGTCCCTGCCACACTTGGCTATTTGTAATTGCACAACAAACTGAACATTTTCTTCTGTCAGATATTTTTCATTAAATGCTGACGCAAGTGCATCCACCACACACAGCAGCACCTGATTTTTTGCAACATTAACCTGCTCCCACTCGGAGATATTTACGAGCTGGGTTGTATTTGCATTGCTATTGTATGGCAAGTGCAATTTGGAAATGTGGCAATTGTTGTCCAATTTTGTTATGGTTATGAAAAAAGTTTGATTCTACTTTGCAGCGTCCATGGGAGAGGGAGAGGAAAGAAGATGGTGGTGGTGATGATTTAATCATTTTCTGTATTCATGGTCTGGAGGTGGTTGTTGGGGGGGTTGCTAACAAATGCATAGACAATTTTCATATTTACTGAATTGGATTTATCTAGATTGCAGGAGAATTGACCAGAGCTAAACAGCATATGGTTAAATTGCCTGCAATTGTATTTTTTATTTTCGATTCTTATTGTGTAAATAGGGAGGAGGTTTGGATTTGGTTTCCAATTTTGTGTTTTCCATATGTCGTTCTTTTGTTGATTTTCTTAGGCGAAGAAATTCAATTGGATAATAATAAATTAATTGGGTAGTTCAAGGGTCATATATTTCAAAGAAGACATTGGTAAACAATTATACGCTCATAACAGCTGACCTCTATTGATGCTCGAAGAATGGAGACGTCTTCTATCACACACTAGAAGAATATATATGTTATTTTTAGAACATTAGAGGATCTCGAAATTCGAGTAGCTTGTAGTAGATGGCCTCAGAGGACATCTAATCAGCCAATAGGTGGTGTAAAGGTCATGTAATCTACAGGGTGAGATAAAAAACTGCAACAAAGTTAAGCGCCACAATTTTTACATTTTTTTTTTAATTTCGAATGAAATCAAAAAATGTCGGAAATAGCATCAAATTTGAGATTTGTTTGAAATGGTCACCTTTGGCACGAATTATGGCCTTCAAACGGACAATGAAACCGTCACACGCTGCTCGAATGTTGCGCTGCGGTATTTTGGCCCATTCCCGGCGAAGCGCTTGCTTAGAGTGATCGACACTTTGGTATTTTATAGTGCCAACCTTGCTTTCCAAAATACTCCAGACACAATAGGCCAACGGATTGGTATCCGGAGATTTTGGTGGCCATTGTGCGCTGGAAATGAAGCGAGGGACCTCATTTTGTAACCATTATTGTGTGGCGCGTGCTGAGTGACTTGGTGCTGAGTCCTGTTGGAATGTCCAAGGTCTGCGTCCAAAATGTGTGCGTGTCCAAGGCTTAAATACACCCTCCAGAATATTTTAAGAATTTTTGGCATTTATTCTGATGCCACGGTCGATTAATACGAGCGCAGAGCGACCAACGGCTGTTTTGGCGGCCCACACCATCACCATGGCCGGCGCATGAGTTCTGTTAGCCAACCGAAGTTGCACATTTCCGGCTGACCTCTTTGGCAAGTAAACACGATAATTTTGTTTGTTTACAAACTGCTGGACAACGAGTGTTTTCTCATCGGAATAAAGCAAATTCGGCAGTTCACCACTTTCGGCCAATCGAAGCAACTCTTTAGCTCTTTTGAGTCTATTTTCTTTGTGTTGCTGTGTAGGTTCTTGAACTTTTTAGAATTTCAATGGCTTTACCCCGAGCTCATTTTTCAATATTTGCCGAATGGAATATTGCGATATGTTTAGCTCACGAGCCATTTTTCCGTCACTGCGTCTCGGGTTTCGATCAAGTCGCTTCTTTACTTTTCGAACCTGATGTTGCTGTTTTCTTCCGTCCATTTCCTTGACGTCGGGGTACGCTACCTACGCTAGTACCACGGTAACGAGCGATGGTACGAGACACAAAAGATTATTCACATTTAAATGTTGGAGCACTCTAACGATAGCCCATTGTGGTTTTCCGGCCAAATATAAAGAAATCGCACTATTACGCTTGAATCCATCACGAATAACTTTTTTCTGGAAAATTTTCATCAAAATGCTTTTGT